CGATGCTGTCTTTGTCTTTTTCACCTCGTCACAGCAATAGACTGCTTCCTACAACTATGGCTGGGCTGTGTATTAGTAGTTTCTCATTCAGGTCCACCTGTAGTGCTTCTGGAGATTTCCTGCATCCAGGGAAGCTCTTTAGTGCTAATCTGCACGTCTGTGTCTGTTTCCCTTGTTTCCAGAAAACTAGTGCTGGGTTTGTTGCTAAGGATATTCTGCTTATTTGGGGAGTGTCACAGGGATGGTGAGCCTCGTAAAGCACTTTCCTTCTCCTCTGTCTGACTTTTACTGTAGTTTGGCAGGTCCGGGTTGTGGTTCAGAGTAGCAGATGTCTTCTAGTTTCCTCGGGGATGGAGTTGCATTTGTGTGTGTGCTCCTTCTTGCCTTTGGGTGACTTCCAAGAGGAAGTCTTTAAGCCAGGACACTAGGACAAGACAACTCTAGTTTTCTATCTTTTCTCCACCAGTTAAAAATGTTAGTACTTTGTGTTGTAGTTACTATTTCCTTTTAACAGCTTTTCACATATCTCTAAAGAATAAAGTCCTTTCACAAACAGCCTTTATTTTTAGGCCTGGAATGATGACATTAGAAAATGTATCACAAGGAAAGAAATACTAATTTCCTTTACTCTGTTCTTTAAGGAAACCAGAAGTCAGAGGAAGTTACGGAGGTAAAATCAGAATAACCAGAATAGAGCATGGCTTGATATTTATAAACAGGAGGCTTGGGTTTGTTAGGCGTGTTTACCGGGAAGGCTGTGCTGTATGACTGGACTCCCCAGTTTGATATCAAGCATGCATTGTGGTTACCCATTTGTGACTTGCCAGCGTTCCTCAGATATTCCCTTGACATTCTTAGGCTGCTCAACTCAGAACTCTTGGCTGGGTTTATAGTTGAATTAAACAGTATTTCCATGTACAGCAACAGTCTGCATGCAAGTATGAAAACGAAAAGACAGTGCGACATACTTTGTTTAAACATTAACATCCAGAAGTAGAAATAATATAAGCATGAGGTCATTCAAAGACTAAAGGAAAGGGAAATTAAGGTACCAAGTATCTATGAATCACTAACTCAATTTGATTTTTAAAGGCCAACGTGCTAACAATGACAATATACAGGGGCGGGCAAAAGTAGGTTAATAATAATAATGGTAATAATAGTTAATAATACAATAATAAATGAATGAATAAATAAGAATAAACTCTGTGTTTTGTGTATTTATAACTGTAAACCAACTTTTGCCCACCCTGTATATTTATGTGGAGATCTTGGGCCAGAGGGAGAGCCAGGATTTAGTTTAGGGGATGAGGGGCCTTGCTCTTTGCGTGAGTAGGACAGGAGAAAAGTATTTGTAGGGAGGGGCCCTGGCACCTTAGAGATGGGAGAAGAGGCCCTTCCATCAGCTCTCTGGATAGGAGTTAGAGCCACAGTCTGACCCAGAGCTGCAGGAGGCAAAGTGGCCAGGCCCAGCATCAGGGCCTGCTCATTCTGATGGTTTGCAGGGCAAAAAGGCAGGATGCTTGAGAGGTAGGGAGAGGTCAACACCAAAGTAAGGAGAAGTACAAAGAATGGCTGGGAGGGAGGGAGGCAGCTGGACTGATGCCATAGTTTTCTCTGGAGATGCATTTATTTTTTATTTTTTTATTTTTTTGAGGTGCATTTATTTTTAACCATGAGACAACCAACAGAAAACATATAGGGAAGTAATTTCCCCTGGTTTTTGGAGATTATTTTAAACACAACTGCTCTCATAATTAATTAAATGTATACCACCCAGATTTGATTTATTGAGCAAATATTGATGAACTTTTTTTTCACTTTGTTGTAGGACACTGTGCTAGACATTATAGATAAGCAAGGCCTAGTCACATCTCTCAAGACTGATAGATGAATTAAGCAAAGCACACATCATACAGCTAAACAGATTAGAATTAGGTTCTTTAAAAAAGCTTATTTGGGGCAGAAATTAAAAAGATAAGTTACATAGCAGACCTGTGAAATCACAGATGGGCATTCAGAAAAGCAGGAGCAATTCTCAGAAAGGCTGGTCCTTAACCAGCATTGCCTTGTAGAACTCCAGTCTTAAAGGATTGCATAAGAACAAGTGATAACTGCTTCCAGGCTGTGGTGGAAAGTTGGTAGGGAACGTGTGTGTGGAAGAAATAAGAAGCAAATACTGTTTTCTAGGTGGCGATTGGACCCGTTTCCTGCCAGATTAAATGACATGTCTTTTTAGTTCAGGGTGGTTGGAGTTAAGGACCTAAGTGGTTTGAGGTGACTCCATTGTTTCTGATCTGCTGACCTCGGGGGCCAGCCCTCTGTGTCTTGGTGAGAATGTTAGAGGTTTTGCTGAGAGGGAGGGAGGGGTTTCCATATGGAATTTGGTGGGGAAACTTGACTCTTCAGGGGAAGGCATGAGTTGGGCAAGAAGAACCTACAACCAGCACTACAAACTGAACGTTTTTTCTTGAAGAAACTTGCTGAAGAGAGACTCATTGTCAAATGGTGCAGGTAACGCAGCACTTCGTTCTGTACCTGACACCACACATGACTTCTTGATGCCCCTTCCATGGCTGTCTTTGTCACAGAGTGTCCCTGGGTCATTGCTTCTTTCCCATCTTCTCCCTGACCCTTGTATATGTTTGCTAGAGCTGCTGTAACAAAGTACCACAGACTGGGTGTCTTAACAGGAATTTATCTTCTCACAGTTCTGGAGGCTGGAAGTCTCAGCTCAAGGTGTCGGCGGGATTGGTTTCTCCCGAGGCCTTTTTCCTTGGCTTGCACGTGTCGTCCGCCTTCTGGCTGTGTCCTCACATGGTCTTTCCTCTGTGTTTTCATATCCCCAGTGTCTCTTTGTACAAATTTCCTTTTCTTAAAAGGACAACAGTCAGATTGGATTACAGCCCATCTTAATGGCCTTATTTTAACTTAACTCTTTTAAGAACCTTTCTCCCAGTACAGTCGCATTCTGATATACTGGGGGTTAGGGCTTCAACATTTAGGGATGGGGGAACACAATTCAGCAAATAACAGACCTCTTGACTGGGCATGTTTGTTATTTTTGCTTTTTGGTTTCTGTCCCCACACTTGCCTTCACTTTCACTTGTGCAAGACAGACCCTGGATCCATAGTTCACGGCTCCACCTTCCCCACAGCCTATTGTATGTTCTTTTAGTTACACAGCGTCCCTGATCAAACTCATACCTCCCCCTCCTGCTTCCTCCCCTCTGCCCTGATTTAAAACTTTCTGATCATTATTATACTTTTATCTGGCCTCAGCAGCTAACCAATTACGGCATCAGGTTCATTTTTCCACAAAAGTGGGTTTTACACAATCACCTTTTCATTCCCATTGCCGCTGTCCACGTCACCCCCCTGCAGCACAAATTGTTGCAGTAGCTTTGAAACTGGACACCCCGGCCCCTGCCATCCCGTCTCTCTTTTTGCACTTCTCAGTATATATTATTTTCAGATTCATTTTTCAGAAGTTCTACTGTTGTGTCATTATTCTTACCCCAGTGGCTCCCTTCCACCCGCAGCGTAAAGACCGTATTTCTCAACTAGGCATTTGAGGTTCTTTATAGTCTGATTCCAACCAATTTTCCAAATGCGTCTTTAACTCTTCAGCATTAATTCTCACTCTCCTTCCCATATGTCATCGTAAATCTGTCCCCTGGCCTGGTTGGTGCCGTTGGCATTCCTGGCATGCCTTCTCCTTGTGTATTTCTGTTTCCTCTCAAGTATTACCCAACGTCTGAGACTACATTGAATTGAATCCCTACCTTCTCTTTGATGGAAGCCCCCTCCCCTCCCTTGAAAAATCAACAGCACTTCATCTCACATTGAACTCTCATTTCTTGGTGCTCCGTCACACTTAAGATACTGGCCATGGTATAAATGTGCTGGCTGTTGGGTCCAGACATCAGGCAGCCATTATTGAGCTCCACTCTGTGCCAGGCATTGTGCCTGGGAGGGAGCTGAGGTCCCAAGAATATTCAAGGTTTGGTTTCTGCTTTAGGGTTATGATGTCATGGGGGAAGTAAACGGGCAAATGCTGATGGAATTGACCGCCGTGCAGAAGCAGCTTGGCAGGTCATGAGCAAGAGCGGCAGCACCACCTGAGCTCTGCCCAGGTGTCAGGGTTGAGACGTTTGAACTGAAAGCCGTGGTAGAAGCTTCCAGGTGGAGAACGAGTGCAAAGCATTCAGCCAGAGAGCGCTACACATGATGACCTGGAGCGAGACGGGCATGGGAGAAGGGGGAGTGGGGTTGTAGCACGAGAGAAGAGGGGACAGTTTGGGAGGGAAAGATGATTGTGTTTTGTTTTTAGGAAAATAACTCTTGATACTATAGTATGTGCTTGGAAAAGGGGGTACAAGGTGGGAGGTAGGACAGAAATGAATTAGGAGGTAATTGTCATAGAAACAAGCAGAAATCAAGAGAAAAGACCCTACGTTATTTCACCTGTGTTTGTATGAGTGTATGTTTAGTTTCCTCAACCAGATTATAAATTCGGGAGCCACAGTGTGTGTTTTACCTATTTATCTTTATAATGCTCACATTATTTAGTATGTTAGTGTGTCTGTAAAAGGTACTTAATGGATGCTAATGATATGGCTTAGGTTCTATTCATTATCTTCCCGCCAGACTCAGAATGTATAAGAAGTAGTGCCTAGCGTTAGGTTGAACACAACTGAATCTATGATATGAATAATGAAGAGCTTACTGTAAAAAGAGGGAAGGATGAAATATGTAAAAATATGCAGAAGAATAAACCATGTGCCTCTGTTTGCGTGCCTTGAATGGGTAAGGTGACATCGCGAGGCAATGGACTGAAGCCTCACCCTGTGTGGTTCCTATCAGATAGTGGAGACCCTGGCGTGGTTTGGGGAAATTCCCAGGATGGAGGGCAGAAGACGACAAGTGCTACCAGGTGGCTTAAGTGAGTGAGTCTCCGCTCTGATTGATGTGTTTCTCTTTCTCACTGCTTCCTGCAGATACTATATAATCTGCTTTCATCATGGGAGAAATAGAGCAGAAGCCAACTCCAGGATCGCGACTGGGGGCCCCAGAGAATTCAGGGATCAGTACCTTGGAACATGGACAGAAGCCGCCTCCGACACCTTCAGGAAAACTCATGTCCATCAAAATCCAAATGCTGGATGACACCCAGGAGGCGTTTGAAGTTCCAGTAAGTTGGGGTGTATCTGAACTCAAGCGTGTGAGCAGTCTTCAGCATGGGGAGGTTCATCTCATGTTTCAGTGACATGGGGTGTCAGGAAGAGGGTGTGTGTATTCTGCCTCCGCCGCCCCCCCCCCAACACTCTCCTCTGACCCATTCTGGTTCTGAGCTGTCTGATCTTTAGATTTATGCGTGAACTGCCTATATAATGATATCAGTGGGCACATCACTTGAATTTTACTGACTTTCCCGATACAAATATATATGTGTATGCATATGCATATGTATTATATCTGTTTGAATTGGAGAGAGTTGTGGTCTTGTGGCTGGATCTCAGTTTAATTTGCTTATCACAGGCACTTTGTGTGTGTGCTTGTGCGCGTGCCACTGCTCTAAGGTACTGGTGAGAAAAATCCCGAGAGGACCGTCGAAGCCCTGCACGAGTGTTCTCATTCAGAATTTGACGCCCATGTTCGTGGGTGGGGAGTGGGATGCAGAGAAACCCTGACCCACACCCTCAGTGTGGCAGCTCTGGAATGGAAGAGCCCGTGTCTCAGGGGCAGAGCTAAGGAGCGTCTGGGAGCTGGGCGGTGGGGAGGAACCGCCAGCCTTGGTCTCTTCCACTGTTTTCCTCAGAGTCCCTGCCTCACTGCCCCCTGCCCTCCCCCCTCCTTCTCCGGCCTCCTCCATAAATAGAACTCCTGCTGGAGCTGAGGGGCCCACCAGTCATGTACTGATGGAGGCTTTCTTGTTCCCAGGCTGGAGAGCTAGGTGTGTGTGGCCAGCTCCCCAGGACTCGGACCGCACTTTCCTCGAGAATCATTATCCCTTATGTGGGTCGGAGTCCAGAGAGTTCTTAGCACCCTTTGGATTTCGTTTCCCATGTTCTCTCTTGGGTACTAAGCACCACCTCTAACATCGTGGGGGAAGAAAATAGCTCTCGAATTCCAAACAGCCAACTTATAAACACACTTTGGGAACACAACCTGTTTTTAAAGTGGAGCCGATCCGTCTATTATTCCTGTTGGTTAGAGCGACTGAAATTTAAGTTGGCATCCACGTCTGTAACCCATCATTTAATCATTTAAGTGATATGATTCACTAAATTATATTTATTTCAAAGAATATTGTCCAGAGAGTGTGAATTATCATTGTCTCAGGGAAAGATAAGCCTCAGAATAGCTATGTGTAAAACCACCAATTTATTGCACATCTCAAACAATCTTTGTGTCTTTCTAATTTTCTTGTTTTGCAATTCATATCTAGCAAGGCTTTGGGAACATCTTCGTATTTTGGTGAACAAATCTGTTGCTAATCTGCTGAAACTGTAAAACTAAATTGAGGAGCGCACCTGCTAGCCTGTTAGAATTAGGCCTTTTAGAACGCATGGCCCGCCCCCTGCCTCCCCCTCCACCCCCCTTGCAACTTTTTCTCTGCATTGTCAGACTGGTTTGGTGAGGTATTTAGTTTCAGTGTTTCAGTATTTCCTATTTGGTTCTGTTAAGACTTCTGGGCCCAAGTCTGTAGCAGCACATTCTCTTAAACGGTGTTCCTGTATGTGGTTTGGACCCGGGAGCTATCAAATGCTGCTGTTGTGTGCACAAACTACAGGAAGCATTGTACTGTATTCAATTGCTGTTCTTCAGTTCCCTAAACCAAAGAATGTCAAGACTCTGCTCTTAGCTACCTACTGTTTAGGAATTCTGTAGGAGCTCTCTGTCTGAGAAATAGGAATAGAAATATGTTTTCACCTTTTAAAACTATATTACTTGACAATTTCTGATGTCTGTGCTTTGTATTTGTAACTCCTCTGCCTGGAGGAAACTTTTTCACCCTGCAACCCCCTCACCCATAAACTCCTATGCACCCTTAAAGGCCCTGTCAGTTTTACCCAGATGCCAACTCCCTGAGGCGAGGGCTGGGGCTGGGGCTTTTTCTTCCCTCCTTCAGACCTGTTTGCTCATACACCTAGTAGGGTGGAGCATGACTGCCTGGGTTCAAATCCCAGCTTCTCCTACTAACCTGTGATCACCTTGAACAGGCACTTAACCTCTTTGTATCTCGATTTTTCACCTGTAAACTAAGGCTAATAATAAACCCTACCTTATTTTCTGAGAGTTAAAGGAGTTGATACAACTGAAGTGTTTGGAACGACTCTTGGCACATACTAGGCGCCCAATACAAGAGGGATTAGTGGTATTGACGTCTGTTTGCTACCTCACTGCTGGCTTCTTGGCAGGGACCTTATCTCATCCCTGGCACCAGCATAGCATCTGTTTTGTAGTAGGTGCTCATTAAATGTTTGCTGACTGACTGTCGGGATGAGTTTATTTTACAAGTAGAATTAATTGTTAATTTTTCACATGCCTCACCCATTCATACCTTATTTTTATTTTTCTAGTTTGGTTAGAATGTTCCTTCTCGACCAACGGGCAACAGATGTTTTCTACAAGTGCTTGCAGAAAGGCAGATATCAGCATTTTTATTGGCTAAGCTGATTCTCAATTGCTACCTTATGGTCTTTAAGAACTGAAACAGCAGCTGGAAGGCAGCAGGCTGGCCACGGTGACTCGGTCCCTGTGCTCAGGATGGAGGAGAGTGACACAGGATTGCAAGAGACCCCACTAGCTCCCCAAGTGCTCCCCATAACTGCTTTAAAACGTTGCTCCAAAACTTGATGCTGTGAATTCATCAAGGCTCAGTGACCCTGGAAGTGTTCCCCTCTCCCACACGTGATCCTCCTTGGATTGGGTGCCCCAAGAGAATGAATTCTCCTTGCTCACTCACATTTGCCACACAGATGAGCAGGGCACACGGCCAGAAGTCATTACAGTTTCCCTTTGGGAACATTCTTCTCCGAACCATTTTTTTTCCTTGGGGATTGAATTTCCTGGGCCTTTTCTTATTGTAGACCATGAATATGGGCAAAGTAGTCATTGTAAATGCAAATTCCCTAAATATTTCCTGGCACAGATAACCAATACTCTCCAAGATTGCCTCCCTTGCTATTTATAGCCTTTAAAAATTATTTAGGAGTTTAACCTTTTCAGAGGCCTTGGCAGTGAGCGTCAGACTTTCCACTCTGTAGCTAGTTTTACCACTGCCCTAGCTCTTGAACTTGGGCAGTTTTTTTTTTAGGTATTTTCTCTGCAGAGTTGAAAGGTCGAAAACAATACTTATATAGAGTCAATTCGTTCTCGGCATTTTATCATCTTTATGTGGAAAAAGCTGTGCAAATAAGCCTCACCCTGTGGGTTTATGATCTATGCAGCTTCCTCTTCCAACCAGAGGTTATAAAACCAACGGACTCTGAGGATCTGAAAGGGTTAATGACGCCCCTCCTCTCCCCCACCAGTATCATTACCCCTTAAGGTCCCTGAGAAGGTTTTATGTGTCCTGTCCTCATGACCCTGCTGGTAAACAAACACACTTCCTCCTGACGTTTTTAGGATAAGCAGATGGTTTCTTCTCCGAGTGTTTATTCAGTTTGTGTGTTTTCATTAGCAGGGTCACTCTAGGAAGAGCCGCGAAGAGCAGAGGAAATAAAACCAAGCCATCTTTTGCTTCTCTTGAGCAGCCGGGGTGAGAATGGCTGGGAAAGATGCTCGTGGGTGACAAGGAGACTCCTAGTCTTGGTTGAAGAGTGAGCAGGAGTTAGAGGTGTAGGCAGGTGGAAAGTAGTGATGCGTTTAGGAAGTTGTACCACAGTGTTAATTGTGGCAGGAAGAACCCAACGGTCAACCATGGCCATCCCAGGAGACAATCACTGTGCCTTTTTTGTAGTTGTGTCTTGTCATCACTTCACTCGATGCTTTTACAGCTTCCAACTGCCTGAGGGTAAAATATGGACTTCTGAGTTGGGGAGGTCGGGAGGTCGGGAGAGCGGAGGGAGCCCTCATTGAGGGCGCCCTCATTGCTGTCGATGGCTCAGATTCTTGAGCTGCTTCCATTGTTTTCCTGGGTGTTTTCCCTCCCGCATGAGCATCTCAAGCCAGGAAATTATTTTCTTTGGTTACGTGCTTATTTTTGGCTTCCCGCAGGTAGTGTGAGTTCTTTGGGGGGGAGCAAGGCCTCTTCTGTTCTTGTTTATCATTGGATCTGACACCTGAACGGGGCCTGGACCCAGCACGTACTCCATACCTGTGACCGACCCACACCTGTGTTCAGTCATTTAACTCACACATTATGAGAAGTGGTTGGTGCTGCCTTCTCCTTGAGATGAGGGAGCCCCTGGGAAGAGCTTTGAGTCACTTCCTCACATTTGCAAAGTTAAGGTAGGACTGGGATTGGAGCTCAGCCCGCATGACCGCAACACCGTCTGCCTTCCCTGCACTGAGAGCCACCTCATAAGATCCCTGGGCTTCCCCTGCCTCACCCCATTGGGTCTTCGCTTACATGCCTCCAACAGCTCCCAAAGGGAAGGTCACCACGCTCTTCCCTTCCTGCTGCTCTGGGCCTGTCCCCGTCCTAAGCACCACTCATCCTCTACTTCTAACAAAGTGATCAAAATGCCACGAACTGTCCAGGCCTCCCCCCAACCCTGGCTCTTGCTGGGGGCCTGCCTTTCTCTTCATACAGTACTTACTGTCTGTGCATCTAATTAGACTTTGAGTCACCATCCCTAATCTTGCTTCTCTCCCTAATTAGTTCCTTTATATATATCCCTGCTGAGACTTTATTTGCTCATCTGCAAAAAGAGGTGTTTGGTCCAGATGACATTCAAGGCTTCTTTTCTCCTTTTTATTTTTTTGGAAGTTGGGACCCTGTGTTGACATCTTCTTTTTTAAATATATTTTTATTGATTTCAGAGAGGAAGGGAGAGGAAGAGAGAGATAGAAACATCAATGATGAGAATCATTGATCGATGCCTCCTACATGCCCCCTACTGGGGATTGAGCCTGCAACTGGGGCATGTACCCTGACTGGGAATCGAACCGTGACCTCCTGGTTCATAGGTCGACACTCAACCATTGAACCACACTGGCCAGGCCTGTGTTGACATCTTTGTT